CTGGAGGCGGCCAACAGCAGCGCGGCGCTCAGCTGCGCCGACCCGCTCGCCGCCTTCCCCAACCGCTCCGCGCCCCTCGTGCCGTGCCGCGGCGGCTGGCGCTACGCCCAGGCCCACGCCACCATCGTCACCGAGGTAAGGGCGCCGGGCTCCCTCCCGGGGAAGCCGTGGGAGACGCCGCTGCTCAGTTCCCGTCGGACGCGGAGACGGCGAGGCGCTGGCTACCGGGAGTCCGTGGGACGCTTTGGGGACCGACCAGGTTCGCCCGACGTTCGGAAGCGCCTTCCAACTATCGGGAGAGACCTTTCTTTTATTTTTTCGTGCCAGTGGGCTAACCAGGAGATGCTTTTGTTTCAGGTGTGAGCGAAAACTTTCATAGGAGCCAAATTATAGATGTTTCTTGCTCACCTGCCTGCAAAGCACCCAGAAAGATACGTTTTATCTTTGAGAGGTGTTGACGCATTGATTGGAGGCGGTGGGTCTAGACTCTGAACTTTTACTTCTGGGGCAAGAGATTCCTGCAGGTCTGGATGGCCTGTGGTCCAGGGGAAAGGAGAGGGGAAATCCGCCTTTGAAGGCCAGTGCTGTTCCCTGTTGCCCAAATGATTACCCAAAACGCGGAGGGGTAAAGGTCGAGGCTCCGGGGGAAATGGTTGGTAAAACTGCTGTGGGGCAAAGAGCAACATCCAAAAAAGTTAGGAAAGCTGAGGCTTTGGATCAGAGTTTGTGGATTTTCCTGGTAGGAAGAGGGCCGGTGGCTGGTGGAGATGCAGTGGCAGGCGGGGGTGAGGGGAGAGCGGTCCCCACGTTTGGTTAGGATTGTGTGGTGCGCAGCATCTTAGGATGTCTGGTGGCCTCAGGGCTCTCTTCCTGCACCTGCTGGGCCAGTAGCGTGCGTCTGTGTGGATTTGCACTTATGAGTAGTTTTTTTGATTTTTCTACAGTCAGAGATCAACTAAATTTGAACAAAACTGCTTGAATGGGCACAGGTAAATGGAGAAAGAAAATAATGTACTTCGTCTTTATCTTGTTTTTGTCATACCACTTTTGAAGGACCTACTTAAATGATGGGGAAATCCTGCCCTAAGAGGCAGGCATTCCTTTTTGCTGCTGCTAGAGGTGACCTTTGGTGTGGTCGCCTCCTGTATCTGGAGTTGGCATGTAGCTCGCTGAGGTTGTGTGGATTCTAATTCTGAGCTGCGGTGGGCCTCCTGTTAGGAATGGCCAGGGCGAGAACACTGCCACAGGCGTCCCTAGAGTGTACCTATTAGGGAGCTGCTTCCTTTCCATTCAGCAGAGCTGCTCAGAACTTACTTCCCAAACCAACCAGAAGACATTTGCAAATGAACAACTTCAAAAAAGCAAAGTGCACACCTTTTTAAGTGTAGTTTTCATGAATGCCTTGGGCAGCAAAGAAGGGAGATATAAAAAATCTGTAAATGAATGCCCTAACAGATACTTGCATGTTCTTGGGTACCATGGTCACTGGTATCCTGGGGTTCTATAAAGGTATCTTTTGAAGGTCAGAGGCTTCTGAAGTGTGGAATGGTGGAAATTCGTGGGTCTTGACATAGTCTCCAAATGTGCGTTTGGCTTAGGTAAGTCGTGTAAACTCTCTGGGCCTAGCTTTCTCATTTGTATATGTAAGCATTGGATTAAACCCTTCGCAACCCTATAAGAACTATCACCTATCACTGTCACCAGCTGGTTGTACCTCAGTGTGCTTAGAATAGTGATCATATATCTTCAAGGAAAACTAAGGTGATATTCAGAATGTACTCTTTAAGGCCACAGAAAAATTTTTGAAATATATTGAAGAGATTTCTTTTTTAAAATCCCAAATAGTTTTGTGCTTCTTTTGGCTTGTCTGTCATGTTTTGACTCAGGAGGAGACCCCCTACCTGTTCAGGAAACTCAGCCATCCAAAATATCTCAGGGTTTAGTGTGCTAGTATTTTGGGGTCTTCAGTTCTGAATATGAAGCAGTTTGTTCTTCTTTGAGATTCTGTCAGAAAGGTGAAATAAGCCAGGTGTGGTGACTTACACATGCAATCCTAGCACTCAGGAGGCTGAGGCAGGAGAATTGCTGTGAGTTTGAGACCACCCTGGGCTACATAGCAAGTTGAAGGCCAGCCTGCACTACACAGTGAGATCCTTTCTCAAAAAAAGTGTGTGTGTGTGTGTGTGTGTGTGTGTGTGTGTGAGAGAGAGAGAGAGAGAGAGAGAGAGACAGAGAGAGAGAGAGACAGAGAGAGAGAGAGGGAGAGAGAGAGAAGCTGTATTCTGCCTTCAGCTGACTAACATTATGAACCCAAAGTATTGCCATAGACCTAGAGTTTACACATTATTCATGCAAAGAGGGTCCATTGGGAGCATCTACAAACAAAGGGGACAGGGTACTCAATTTCCAGAATGCCTCTGTGTGGCTGTTAGACTTAATCCTTGGAGCATGGTGGAAAGGTATCATTGTTTTGCTTTACAGAAGAAAGACCTGAGGCTGGATATGTTTCATAGCCTTATGTAGCCAAATTAGATTAGCATCCAGGGTCTTGATTGGACATCTATTCTCTTTTCCTCCAGAGTACTTGTGTCCTTCAATCAAGCCTATGAACTATGACACCTAGATCACTCACACTATATAGCCTGCAGAAAATCCTTTGAACCTTTGTGTCTAATTTGCTTTTAGTGGTCTGATGGCAAATATGCTATTTTTCTCATTTGGTGGTGCTGGCTGTGACTTCAGCCAGTCAGGCAGCTGTGCAGGCTGTGACTTCATTGGTGGGAATGGTTCTCTACCCTCTTGTTGTAAATGTTGCGAAGTGGTTAGTTAGATCTCACTCACCCTTTTCCAGCTTACAACTAGAAATAATTTTTAGGAGCTGAAGCCAAGTGCAGGGCTGTTTCAAGCCAGCTTCTCACTTGTGTCTCCTGCTGAAGGCACTGCAGTGGATTTCTCATCCACACTGAACTTCCTCAATATAAATTTTTCTAACATCTGAGTCTCAGCTTTGTGTGGATTTTGGACACTGGTCAGAATAAAACATGATATAATGCAGAGTCAGAGCCCTACCTTCCGAATGTTTGAATTCACTGCCCAGGAAAGGAGCCTTTTAAGACTGATGTTAGAATTTTTAATGCTTTCTAGTAAACTATAGACAAAGAAAAAGAGCTTCTCTCTCATCTATCACAGGCTTCAGAGCACCTTTAAAGATAGACTGAATCACAATGCCTTTTTCTTTTCAACATCATTTTCCCTCCATAATTAAAGGAGGGTTAGTTTGAGAGACGTGGCTATTCTGTTGAAGAAAGTGCTTGACAGAGGTTGTCCACATGCTTTATGTGTCTCTGCTTTACTTCCTGCATATCTGTTCTAAGAGATAGGCCAACCTGGAGGGTCCACTCTTTACGTTGGTGCCACTGTCAACGTGTCTTCACTGAGGATTTGTTGGGCACATAATTACACTCTTGTAGATGCAGACAAGGGGGTTAGCCAGGCCCAAATTCTAGTCTGGGCAGTCTCTAATTTGCTGTGAGCACTTTAGAAGCAATGTGCTTTGGTATTGTTTTTATTTCTAATATTGCTTGTGCCTCCTCCATGCCCAAATTAATCTCACTGTTAGAATGTCTTGTGTTACCCAACTGTGATGTTTTCTATTTCATTAATTTCTTCTCTTTATTATTTGTTCTAGTTTGCAATTACACTAGGTGTGCCTTTTCTATTTTTTTTTTAATGGGGAAAAAAAGTAAAACAAAATTTCATAACAAAATAATAGAACAGGCTCTGTAGCTCACAGGGGAAGATGGTGGCTGTACCTTCGGAGGAGAGGTACTGAAACAGGAGGAGGAAGGAGGCCAGACAGGGAAACATTCCCAACTGTGAAGACAGTAGGAGCTCTGCTCAATGCCAGACGTGTCCTAGAAGGAAAACATCACCATGACCACAGAAATTGGTTCTCTTCCTCGTCTTTTCCATATGCCAAGGTTCCAACACCAAGTGCCTCGATAGCTGCCTGATTTTGCGCAGTGGCAAGCAATGCAACAGCTTGCTTTTCATGGGAAATTGATGAGAAAAGCCATAAATCGGAAGACCGTAGATTACAATCCATCTGTAATTAGGTATTTGGAGAATAAAATATGGCAAAGAGACCAGAGAGATATGCAGGCAATTCAGTGTGATGCAGGTTATTATAATGATTTGGCCCCACCCATAGGAATGTTGAATAATCCTATGAATGCAGTAACTACAAAGTTTGTTTGGACATCAGTAAATGCAGTGTCCAGTATTTATTGTGAGGTGGACTCCAGCGGGAATATGATTAGTCAGTGGAGCTTCTGGTGGAGAGTTCAACTTGTGGAATGGACTCACTTTCAATTTTGAAACAATATTATGGGCTCACAAGAGCCCAGTGAGGGCCATAACTTGGTCACATAATGACATGCGGATATTGACAGCAGACCATGGAGGATATGTGAAATACTGGCAGTTGAACATGAACAACATCAGGATGTTCCAGGCACATAAGGAGGCAATTAGAGAGGCCAGATTTATACACAATATACCATTTTCTGTAGTCCCTATTGTCATGGTTAAATTATTCTCTAAGTGTATTCTGGGTGCAGAAATGCATGGGTTCTGTCAGATTCTGGGAAGCTTTTCTGCACCCTATAAATACACTATTTTTCTTTATTTTCACACATTCACCATTTTGCTGGCACCTTTCTGAAGTAGTGTTGTCCTGTATCAGCCTTTGCAATATGTTAGAGATGTATGTCTGCTGCATTTTGCACTGGTTTTCTCTTTTCATTTATGGTCAATATGTATACCTTATTCCTTTTTACTACCTATTGTGTAAGACAAGAATATTTTATTCCAAATAAAGAATTTAGTCTTTAACTATACAGCTGAATAAAATCTAAAACCTACAGAAAACACCTTCAGAATTCACACAAAATACAAGGAAAAAACGCTTAAGTGAAGACCTGGTTGGCTTGGTTATGCCTTGACTTCAAAAATAAAACATAGGACTAACTCTCACAGCTAACTCCCTGGATGTGGCAGACATTTATGGTCTAATGAATGGGTTCTTCAAGCTTTGCAGCTGTAAGCAGATTTTTGTCAAGAAGACTCTAGGACTT